CCACCGCATAACATTTCGCTGCTATTTTTAGCTCGCGAAATTAGCCACAAGGAAAAACTGTTTGGTGATCATAGGTCAAAACAAGCACTGGTGTCTTAGGTAAAATAACTCTCGCAGTGAGCGATGCAATAGGCCTGATAACTGTTAGTGTATAGTGTTTAGTGTTCAACAGGCCGTTAACGGTAAACAGCAGAGTGGACGCAATAACCAATGTGAGTGGGAAACGGGTAACGATTAAAAGTGAAAACAATTCGAATGTCTTTAGACCCATTTCATCGTTGTTTTTATAGAGAGGAACAAATTTCTGCATGTAAAGTGGAGATAAATTCGAAATGTGATAAAAGCTGGAATAAGATATTAACGTCATTTGCTTAATAATGAGTTCGTGAATCTGGACTAACGGTTGATTAACCACAAGTACAAGAAAAATAAGCAAGAGATAAGAAAAGATGAGTTTCAAATAGATGGACAGCATTAAAATTAAATAAATATATATATTACCTCTACGACACACAGACAGCATGAGGAACTTAATTACAGGCAAGGGATGCGCGCTGTTTGCCGTCGCCGTGTGCGCTGCGCTGGCGGTCAGCCTCCACTCGCCCAGGGCTGCTCGGCGGCCGCGGCCCTCGCAGGTGAGCGGGAGGGATCCTCCGTCTTGCTGAATTATTTCATTTTTTATAACTGATACACGTAAGCGCACAGGCGCGCGCACACGCAAATATGTACATATATAATATATATATGTGTACACACATGTGTATATATATAACATATATGTGTGTGCGTGAGTGGTTGCTAGGTATATTTTCTTGATTGTGTTCCTTGAAACGGTCCATTTGCTAAAGCTGATATAATGAGCTACCTTCAGTATCCTGTGTTTACCTTTTACACATAAACGCAATCCAGGTCTATGGGTGCTTGTCAACTAATCTTAAAGGACGTGAAAGCCGCCTTAGGTGAAGATTGACGTGGGGGGAGGGGGGTATCAGTCGGAAACCTAGTCATATGTCCATTGAGCATAGCCGTAATAATTGCAGCTTGCAGGCCTACTAACAACCCCAAGGAATACTCTGAACAGGATGTGTGTATATGTATATGTGTATGTGTATCAGGGCCGGATTATGACCTTTTGGGGTCCCGGGGCTAATGAAATTATGGGGCCCCCTCAGAATATTTTTTACTCGTGATATATTTTAGCGACCTTTACATAGCTTGAAGTAAACTTATTGCAAATTCTTTAAATAAACTAGCATAGCTATCTTTTGTTTGTCAATGAACATATTTTTTAAATACCACTATTTTACTATATTTCAACATAACAGTAGTGAAAAAAAATATAACCATGCCCCTCAAGCTTGGGGGCCCCAAGCTTGTGTGTGTGTGTGTGTGTGTGTAACTAAATCGGGGGAGGTCCTGCAGTGGAATGATACAGGCCACTATTGTGATGATATGTACACGTTTTTTTTACGTCACATAGGACGCTGCCTGTCATTGGACGCACCCTTTTAGAAAAAAATGAGAAAAAACAGAATGGATATTGTGGAAACGTGTTCCAGTTTCTTTTTCTTTTTACTCCAAGGAAATATTTCCATAACACTTCTGTGTTTATATACAGTTTGGATTTCTATAATTGATTTTCTCCTTCAGATCTGCTGTTAATTATATACAAAGTCCCAGCAAAATATAGATTTTCACTGAGAGATATACATAGATACATATTATATATATATATATATATATATATATATATATATACATATATTATAAATATATATATGTGTGTGTGTGTGATTCTCTTTTGTTTCCCCCCCAATCCCTTGCCCGTTGTTGTCGTGGGGGGACTTAGGAGGCGGAGACTGGGACCCAATGATGGGGAACTCCCCAACCTTGGGACTCAGCCCTCGACTCAACTAATTATGCATGGTCTTTTTTTTCCCTTCCCACTTTTGTTTCTGTCCCTTCACCAAACCCTTCTGCTATCCACCTCCTAAGGTGTGAGAGCCGTGCTGAAAGGATGAAAGGCTGACTTTGTGCCAGTCCTGAACGGCCTGAGGGAGCCATGGGCACGGTATTCCCCTGATTTAGTTATCTAGCCCTTACCCCTCAAGGGGACCCTGAGGGGTGGACTGCTTTTATCCCCAACATAATCCAGGCTTCCCATGGCCAGTAATGAAAATATATCCCCACTGTTAGGGGCAATGAGGCTTGCCCCTTTATCAAATAGCCCCAACGAAGTAAACCCACCCGATTCCCCGACCCCAGGCTCTCCTTTGACCACGGCTCCAAACACTGCAATAACTACCCCTTCACCAATGCCTACTAGTACAGTAGCCAACAATCAACCCTCAAGGAACATTTCCACTCTCCCAGCATGCCCAACTTCAACACCTCTACCCCCACAACCTCCAACATCAACCACCCCATCCTCCCTTATTAATACCTTACAGCCTTATAGCCCACCTCTCCATAACACTACCTCCATCAACACTACTCCATCTTCGTCACGCCCTCGCCCTTCTACCACCCCTATCTCTAAAACAATCTTGAATACTCTCTTCAGTGCAGCCAAATGGGACCGATTTTTCGTGATCCCTCCCACAGCTCCCTACTCTGACAACACCCTTCTCTTCCAACAATGCCTCCAAAAACAAGTAGGTAAAGTCTCTTTCCGTAGCCGACCCGGCCGCTCCCGTCTTGTAACAGTAACATCCGAAAACCAAGCCATAGCATTAACAAAACTAACTGACCTATATGGTAACCCCATCCTAGCAGAACCCCATCCAACCCTTAATACTTGCACCGGAACAGTCTCAATCTCACCAACAAATTGCCCAATCTATGACAAAGATTGGTCAGATTGTGGAGAAGATCTACTTGCCTGTCTCACAGACTACGATGCAACATCAGTACAATGCTATTCCATCCCCCCCAGAGGTCATCGAAAGAAACCCACTAACATAGCCAAAATTACCTTCCGTAGACATGACCTTCCCTTTAACGTCTACATAGGAGGAGAATCCCTCCCTGTTCGTCCATACCAACCTCCTCCACGTCAGTGCCAAAATTGTTGGCGTCTAGGACACCCAGCCAAACACTGCCGTTCCACAGCCAGATGCCCATTATGTGCCCAACCTGGCCATACCCGATCTAACTGCTCTGCACAAACACGCACATGTGCCAACTGTGGCGGCCCCCATAATGTATTTTATAGGGGTTGTCCCACCTACAAATTTGAATCTGAGGTAGCAACTCTCAGATTCAAACTCGGACTCACACTGCGTGAAGCCAGACAGGAAGCACGTCGACGTGGATTCTCTCTTACTCCTTACTCCAGTAATACTGCTCATTCTAACACTTCTCCTAAACCCACCCCTCCTACATCTAACCCCCCCACTAACCCCACCTACCTTCCTCAGTCAAACTCTTTTGCCATCCTAAATCCAGAAACTCCAATCTCTACTACAGATACTCCAATCACCACTACAACCCCAACACCTTCCCCTCTCCCTCCTCGCACTCCCCGTAACAGACAGAACAAACGTTCCACCCCCTCTTCCCCTACCACACAATCACCTCCACCATCCTTTGCCCCTACTCTTGAGACACCAGTCCTCTCTTCTCCCCCTCACAAGAAATCCTTTATCCCCCAAAACTCTCTTGAGACACCAGCGTTCTCTTCCCCCCCTCACAAGAAATCCTTTATCCCACAAAACTCCCCAACCAACTCCATTGAAGAAACTATTGAAAATATCCAAGACTTAATGAAAACTGACCCCCATCAACCTTCAAATCCTACAACTCCTGCTTCCTCCACACACCAAGTGACTGCCGATATCCATCCTCCTCCTAACGATATCCCCCCTACACCCTATCCTCCTACCCCCTCTCAACACAACCCATCCCCCCCAACTCCAACCCCACCCACATTAACCCTCCCACCATCCCCTTTATCCCTTCCACTCCCTCCTGGATACAC